AACAGCACAATTCCCTCAACAAAGATTTGCCTTGGTGATGACCTGTGACCAAACCTATTTCATTTCATACAAAATAGACTAATCAAGGCAGGTGATATAGTCCAGCTCATCCAACTCGCACCTTGTGGAGAGGTTATAAAATAAATAATGTAATCGATGATAGAGCACCAGTATAAGTGATCACACTTGATATTTTCAATTAAATGAACAATGTGACATTGTGTTTTTGAGTAAACCTATTATTTAAGGTCATATAGTCGCCGCTAAACTGGTGCTTGACACCAATTATTACTTTTATAAAAAATATCCTTGACACAAGTCCAGTTAGAATATGTTTTAATTGAGTTCACGGTCCTAATGCCTCCTAGATCATTTTCAACTGATTACACACAAATAGAGCATGCACCATGTACTCCAACCTGCAACACCACACGCAAAGCCCGTCACTGTGATCTTCCACCTTATCAGGTTGGGATGACCTCATTAAGAAAATTACAGCCCACTTTTATAGAATGAAAATATTCTCCCAGCAAATTTAGAAAAGCAGAAACATAGAAGGATAATATACCAGTCAAATTTACCTACTATATATATACACACACCAGATAAACAGAAATATAGAAGGATAATATACCAGTCTATATATATATATATATATATATATATATATAGTAGCTAAATTTGACTGGTATATATATATAAACAAATAAATAAAATACCTGTCAAATAAAAAATACAAAAATCGTCCGAGAAGCCAAAACGAGACCTAGTATCTACCTGGTAATGAATGCCTTGGTCACCATCTTATCAATATAAATCTTCAAATTTGAATCGTGCTGATCTTACTCCTTTGTTGATAATATCCTTGAAACTCAGCACACTTTTATAGAATGAAAATAAAATTCCCTATGTCACATCTGTTAAAACAACTACAGCACACTTTTATAGAATAGAAATTTCGCCCAATAAATTTCAATGAACATAAATATAGTAAGGATAATGAAGCAAAAAACCAGTCAAATTTGGCTACTAAATAAAAGATGCAAAAATCCTCTGAGAAGCCAAAATAAAACCTAGTATCTACCTGGTAATGCATGCCAATATATGGGCATAAAAAATTCCAGTATAATAGAATAGAACAAAGTAAATTTAACGGTGACATGTAGGGTTTTAGATTAATGACTACAGTCTATTGGCCACAGTGTAACCATTGCATAAAAAAAATTATTTTAGAGACCATTTTGAAATTTTTAACAAACTTGAAGGATAGTTGCTAAAATTAACTCGATCTCCTCTAAACTTTTCAATTATTTTAATCTTTTATGGAGAAATGTCCTAATCAACATTGCTCAGTTTAAGCCAAGCAACATGTTATATAAACTCACCAAATCTAATTTAACTTTTGGAACCTAGTATAAACCTATCTAACAATTAGTTGATGTGCCATGTTACTATTTTTCAGCATAAGCTAAGTAACGACGCTTAATAAATTATTTTTCATCTCTTTCCTGATCACATAAATGTGAAGAGTAAATTCTCCTTTTAGCAATCACCTAGACTCCTTTGCTTCATTGATAAAATGATACATTAAGTATTGCAAGGGGACAATGATGCACATAATAACAAAAAAAAGAATATATATATATATCGTGTGTGAAATATGGACTTGCACGCTCAATACAAATAATAGAGTAGAGAATTGATATTTTATTTTGATAGTGTGAAATGTCATTTGAAATAATTAGATATTTGCCTGGAAAGAGGTGACTTCGTTTTCATCCACACACACACATAGTAAATAGTGTGTTATTGATATGTGAACCTTTTTTTTTTTAAGCAAACAACAACCCTATTCATTGTGCACTGTTCAGCATAACAACCGGGTTTAAACAATATGGCATATAATTAGTCCATGAGTGAAACAATAAATTAGAAAGAGCAAATGAGGCCATGGTGTTGGTAGCAGTATTTCCCTCTCAAGGAGTGAAGCTACACACGTCACTCCCAATTTTCACCTAAAGTGAAGCAATCCCACCAGAAGAGAAGCCTTAGGCACGTACTCCGTGTCTACATGGAGCTTTGTATCAATCGAGGTAGCCACTTTCTGTTTTAATGATTCAAAGCCATTCTCAGCATCTTCAGCCTCGAACCTCTATTGATTTTCTTGGATTTTTAATAAAGATATTTGAATGTTTTAACAACGTGCTTTTGTCATCTCTTTTTTTGTGTGGATGATTTTGGGTCTTGTTCAAAGTATCCTCTCTCTACAGTCAGAATGCTCGACGAGGTTTTAAGGACATGTTATTTCTTTACTTGTGTAAAAAAAAAAAAAAGTTATTTATTTAGACAATAACGAATCACTTTCAAATAAAGTTATTCATTTTCAGCTTTGACACACAACTTGTTTCTTAGTAGTAAACTTAATCCTATGTAATATTTTAGCTTAGCCGAGTATGATCTAATAGAATTGACTTATACACATTGTATTTGTTAGGTTTAATTGTAATTGGCAATTCTATGAACCGAAAGGGTTAAATTGAAATACTCTAAAAGTTGAGGAGTCATGTGCAATTGTGTATACATATAGTTGGTAGGTTAGGGTTTAACTTCAAAATAATGTAAGAAGGACCGTTGCATTTTCGCTTGATCCTCACCAACGCACAGCTCGAGCAGCACAAACAAAAAGGACGTCGCTAGCTTCTCGCCAAGCCCTCGCTCAAGCAAAAGACCATCATTAGCTTTTCGCTGGATGATTGCTCAAGCGATAATGTTGCCCATAAAACCCTAAATTGTGTTTTTCGAGAGTTTTAACAATTCCAAACTACCCAAAACATCCTACGTATAAATATCTGCACCATTTCTCGGAAAAGATTAGATTGTCCATTATGACAAAAGACTTGCATCTTTCAAAAAACATACAATCCATTCTTCATCAATATTGGCGACAAATAAACATCAAAACCTGAAATTCCAACACCAAACAAAAAGCTTTCAAAGGATCTTTTAGAGATTGAAGATCAAGAAAAGTGATCGAAATTTCGATCGTTGGAGAACGGGGAGCTCTCGTGGAATCCACAAGAGATAGACGACATCAAAAGTCAGGAGTTGGGGTAGGAGCATGCAATCCAGGTTGGCTTTGAAAAGTACACTACAGGAGGTCAGAAAGAACGTGTGTGTGTTTAGTTTGGCGGTACTGTAAGTTCTACTAGTTTATAGTGAATTCATACTGGCTTGTGCCTAGAGTTTTACCCTGTTGGGTTTCTCCGTCATCAAATTCTCCGTGTTATTTACTTTTCAACAATTTTTTATATTGTGATAATTCAACATAGGATAGATTGCATGTAAATTGGACTGGACTAATGAATAATCATACTATGCTGCAATTGTTAATTGGAATTTGTTTAAATTCCGTAAACACCTATTCACCCTCTTCTAGGTGTTATTTGGGTCGAACTATGTAACTATCAATGTTGATTCGATTAATTGGCTTCTTGTGCTCATAATTGTCTTCCTTGACGAGAAAGTAATCATATGCCACTTTTCCCTGAGTAACAAGTGTAATAATTATTGACTCTATGTAATACATTAATCAGGAATTTCAACTATCATGCTATTCACAATCTCTATAATGTGGAAATAATACATACGAGGATTATTTACATACCAGGATCCATGTGATGAATAAGGAAAAAAAATGATGTAGTTTTTAAGTCGAGATCATCTGATAAGCTGGTCCTCACGCATGTAAAAACACACGGTATATATTATGCATAATAACTCGGTAAATAAATATGATAGTTGTACACTATAATGATGATGAGAGCCCTACACTACCTAGAAGGAACATGGACATAGATTGGCAAACATGTGACGTTCTTAATTGCAAGATGCTTATTGTCTCCCACTATAGAAGTTTCAAACGAAAATTTACGAAGGAATTCTTACAAATGTTCTTCACCATCAAAATTTAATCTTCTTATATATTATTATAATTGACATGGTCCTTAAACTACTTTGATTGATCTAACTCTTTGGTTCACATATATGGATGACTATGTAACTTGGCATACTTGTGGTTGATTGATGTGTTTCCCCCATCTTGATAGCGGGCTGTTAATTTCAAAAAAAGGAAAGTAGGTTTTTGGTGATTTTTGATGATGGATGAATGAAAAACATGCGGTGACCGTTCGAAATGGTTAAATTTGACGAATATCTTTTTTTGACTGTATTAATACATTACTATATGTTATTACTGTTTTATTGCAAAACTGATTGTTTGAACTTATAACATAACTAGAATATCTTTATGCACTTGTTGATACTTATAATCAACCGTCTTATTGGGGAAAAAAAAATACTACTACCATAATTTAGAAAATATTTGACGTATTATTCAACATGAATGGGGGGGATAATTTAAATGAGCGGAAAGTGCAGGCAAGTATATGATCCACCATCTCAACTCATTTATGGGTTGCATGATGGCACAAAAGATAGCCTCCATCACGTGAATGTCTTTAATTCCTCACCACACCTACCCTCAATAGTTGAGGTAGGACTTTGGTACACTTAGATATGTCTTTCCAATCTAAATAAATATGTTCTCGCTGCAACAGGGATTATATGGATGAGGATTCAACTGATTACAAACAAATAAAGCATGCACCATGTACTCAACCTACCAAACTACATGCAAAGCCCGTCACTGTGATCTTCCACCTTATCAGGTTGGGATGACCTCATTAAAAACCTGCAACTAACACCCGGGCCTTCAAGAGGGCGTCGAAGTTCCATATTTTCCTGTACCAAGCTGAGGTGAGCAAAGGGCCACCTGGATTGTTCCCCATGAAAGACATTAGGTGGTACTTAATTATATGAGTTTTTATTTATGTTTTAGTAAGTATTTATCTATTAAATAAATTCGGATTTTAATTCTATTTATTTTGAATTTAGGAATTTAATTGTCGTCATTATCTTCTAATTTTAATAATTATCTAGATTTAATTAGTAGTTATCTAAATTTTAGTTATTTCTTTAAATAAAGGTTGTTGGAGCATCTCCAAAAATCTTTTTAAATACAATATGTTCTTTATTTTAAAGAGATAATTCTTAAAAATAAACTTCAAAACACTCTCTATTTTAACTTTTAGTGGTCTCTAATGTAAATTACAGGAATTACTGCACAGTTCAAAACACAAATATGCTTTTATTTACCACTCTCTCTTTACAGTTGTATCTTGATTAAAGTCATCTTTATGTGGCCAGATATCACTAAGTCAAATGCAAATACACTGTTAGTTTTGTTTTTTGCAATTTTCGAACTCAAGGACCTCATTTGTTCAGGAGGTTTGTGTGGAGATATGTAGCATATCTATAAATGCTTCACATATGAGTCCATAATCCAGGCTAAATAATCACTCGTGTGATTATTGAGTAAAAATGCAGCTCCTTTTTGAACCAGTTCTTATCCATAGAGGTAAAGGGAAGTTTAGTTTGAAAAGGCAGAAAAATCATTGATTGGAATTTACTTGCATCTATCTGTACTTTTGGAAAGTCCTTCGGAGATTGTTATTTAGTTGGAATAGTTTCTTTTGGTAAAAATATTGACTTGAAAGTATCATGCTGTGAAGTTATCGCAGATGCATAAATTGAGTATACAGAAGGAAAATGCTAATTTATTTGAAGAAACTTCATACTTTCTTCCGTCCCACCTCTTTTGGCTATATTCAGTTGAAGTTTACTCAGATGTAATAATGTCTCTTCGTAGGGTCGTGGAACTTCACTGAAAAATATCCTATCAAGGTAAGAACTTTTGCATTGAGAATTGTATCAAATATGAAAAAATTATTTTCTTTTCTTTTGTTCCGATTTTTATTTTTGGTGCAGAGAGAATCATGGACAAACATTACTGATATTGGCTTACCAGAGTTCGGGTGTAGTGTATGGGGATTTAAGCAATTCACCTTTGTTTGTTTTCAGTACTTTTGCAGAGGACATTCAACATTCAGAGTCTAATGAGGAGATTTATAGGATTTTATCTATTGTATTTTTGACATCAACTCTTATTCCATTGCTTAAGTAAGTTATTATAGTGAATAGAGCTGATGATAATAGTGAAGGTAGGACTTTTGCTTTGTATCTCTGCTCTGCCGCTTTGCTTAAGTGAGTACTCTGCACAATGGGCAGCTAGCCTATGAGGATTTGTATGATTACAAAAGAGAGGAAATTTCTTGAGTGTTGATTGAGGTACAGAAGGAGGGCTTCACAGAAGCCCTCTAGAATATACACAAACATGTGGAGTCCGATTAGTTTGGCAATATTTAATTTACATGGGCCCCACCTTTCATGTGAGTATCTGTATCATTTTCTGTACAAATGGTTTTTTCCAAATTTCAATCACATAATTGGGTGGTCTTGAATTGGGATTGAGCTTATGATCAAAATTGGAGAAGCACAGATAGTTGCCAAAAATATTGTTGCATTTGGCCTTAATTGGAGCATGTATAGTGATTGGAAATGGAGTTCTTACTCCTGAGATTTCTAGTATAAAATGAAAATTTGCCTATTTTTGTCTTAATTGGAAATTCCAACTGATAAGTGATTATTTTGCTCATTATGCAGTGTCTTCTGCACTTTCTAGGTTAGAGCTTGTAGTGTCAAAGCACCATCACCAATGATTAAAATGGTTGATCTTATTGGGTATATCAACTACGGTCAGCACCCACATTGTAATGCAATCATGGTTTCTGGTACAATTTTTTGTTGCCAATAGTCATCAGCATTTTTTTTGGCTTGTTTATGAATCCTAGATTTATTGTCATGTCTGGAATTATAAATTGCTTTTGGGAAGTTGAAGTCAATTCTTAATGGTGTTGATGAATTCGAACTTGTTCAAAAGCTTGCTCGCAATTGACTAAAAATTCTTTAAAGACGAAACTATGCTGATTCTTATTTTCTATATCCAAAATTATACTTTTGAGGTGAGCAACAACTATACCGGTACCCATAGATTTTGTGGGTTGTACACACCTTATACCTAATATTTGGAATCAACTTATGATGTAGACAAGAATTTGTTCTTCCTGCTAATCATGAATATGCCTTTTTCTTTAGGCTCGTAGTGATGCCATTGAAGTTGTTGCAAATTTGCCAAGGCAATGGGTTAATTCACGGTTAATTGCTTTTGATTTTTGGAAGCAATCTAGATCTTTTGGATGAGTTAATAAGCAAAGTTGTTTATTTTTGCAAAATTCTTACGAATAATTTATTGTGTTACTATTTATGTTGCCGCAATATTTGTTGTTAATGATAATCCAATTCATGCATCGTATTGTATGGGTAAAAACTAGTTCTACTTATAAGCAGATTTTTGTAACAGCCAAAAATGGACATAAAAAGTGATTAATCAACAAAGTAGAAATTTTTCAGTCAATAGGTATCGTATTCACGGAACAAATCAAAATAGATTATTTGTGAATATGTACCACAAGTCTTGCTTAAAAAAATTGACGGGGGAAAATTTAGTTTCGATAGATAGGGTAAATTTTTTATATATATTTATAAAGAATAAATAAAATTTCCTAAAATTGTTTTGTATACTTCTAAGCATAATTTTTTAATAAAAATATATTTCTAACTTTCCATTTTGCTTTTATTTTCTTCTCATTTTTAGTCGACTCTTCATTTTCTCAATTTCTTTTTCTTTTTCTTTTTTTTTCCCCCTTGCTGTTTCTTTTGTTTTTTATGTGTTCTTTCAGCTTTTATTTTATTTTCTTTGCTTATTTAGTCATCTCTTTTCATCATTTCTTCACATGTACCCGCAGTAGCATTCAAGTAATGCCCTTTGATTTCACCTATTTCAGCCTGTGCTTTATAAAGTGCTTCGGCACAAAATAAGAAATGATCTCTCCAACGCATAAATGGCTGGGAGTTCACGTTCTCATCATCTTTGGTAAAATCAAGTCCACTGCGAAGACATTCATAAACTGGTCTACCATAATTTTTAGCAGATCACCCCAATTTTGGTTTAATAGTACATCCCATCTCATTCTCAAATTCAACCCTCTGCAAGTACTCTATCCGACTCGGCCATTGAACCGGTTAAGGCACCGGGTCTCAAATTACTAGTCGAACCGGTGGGTTAGTGATTAGACTGGTGGGTCAATGCTTAATAATTATAAAATATTTTTAAAAGTAGAAAGTTTTTCTTTCAGATAAAATAAAAAAAATTAAATTATCCGTCATTAATTACTTATGTATTTATATATTATTTTGTTAAATATTCAACTTATTTTAATTAAAATAATTTTTTAAAATTTTTAAAAAAATTTTTTTTTAACAAACTTAGGTTTTATAGTATTTGATGGTGGCACTGATACATAATTTTTTTCTTTTATTTTATTATGCCCTCATGTATATTTTTTGGTATTTTTAATTTCTTCTTAATTTCCATTTTGGTATGAACATATAAAATTGCTCTATATTTTCTAACTTTTACATATATGTCCCATTATAATGATGCTTTGATTTAATGAGTAAAATCTTATTTTTAGTCGTAAAAGCCATAACGCTAGTAATGGACACATGTATAACATGAAAAAATTGATTGAATCAGAAAGGAAATTATAACAGAATTTAACAATTGACAAAATTATACAAAATCTAATCAACAAAGATAAGAGCACCTGAAAGGTTTTTGTGTGCATGGTTTCTGTTTTTGGCTTTTTCTATAAGAATAATTTGACAATTCGGGGAATAATGAAAACATCCGCTTTAAAAACATTGAGTGAAAATATGTGATAACTCTAAGGCTTTTAGAGTGCTAAAAGTTTATTTTCAAATATTATGAATTTTAAGTTCTTGTTTGACATTATTATTTAGTACAATATATTGTCCGCTAGTAATAAAATAAGCAAAATATTTAAAAGCCGGGAGATGTCTACTAATGATGCTATTAGTCACTTCAATGTACTTATTTTATTTTCTGAAATTAAAGAGAAATTGGATTTGAATCTGACAAGATCACTACTAAAAAATTGATAATCAAATGGAAGTTAAACCTACATTTCATGAAAAACGCATTGTCATATAAATAAGCACTTTGATGAAAATGTTAAATATCAAAATCTAGAATTTAAGAGATTGAAAAGCAAAATTTCTCCTTACATTTTATCTAACATAATTTTTATATGTAAATGGTCATTTAATTTGAATTTTGTTTGAATAGTTTAGAAAGTAGGGTATTGAAATAATTATTCTACATTAAGAACTCTCTATTTTAAAAAATATCTTGGAGCTTTATTTTAAGATGTTAAAATAAAAAATATCTTGGTGCTTATTTTTATTGATTGGCTCTCTAAAAGAAAAAGAATTTTGTGTTTAAAAGATCTTTCGAAAATGCTCTAACAACCTTTATTCAAAGAAATAACGAAAATCTAGATAGTTACAAAAATTTAAATAATTACTAATTACATCTAGATAATTATTAAAACTAAAAGATAATGATGAAAATTAAATCCCTAAGTTCAAAATTAATTCGAAATAAACAGATTTAAAGAATTTTATTTAATAGATAAATACTAATTAAACATAATTAAAAACTCAATATTCATCGGTCTCGATCTCCTCGATAATTTTTTGTAGCATTTTGCACACTGTGGGTGCTACTCGGTCTGTAGGGATATAAATACCTCCTAATGGCTTCCATGGGGAACAATCTAGGTGGCCTCAGATTGGTAGAGGAAAATATGGAACTCAGATGCCCTCTCAAAGGCCTGGGTGTACTGCTGCATGCTTTTAATGAAGTCATACCAACGGGGACCAACCCAATAAGATGGAAGATCACAGTGACAGATGCCCCCCGAGGCACATCCCAACTGGTAAAGAACGGAGTTCTTCAAAGCAGGCAGTTCAGAGGTCGCGGGTTCGAATCATGAGGCTCTTGGAAGGCAATGCTTTCTCCTAGAAGGCAAGATATTTCCTGGAAAGCAGGAGTTCCTTGAAAGGCAAGGTGCATACATGGATTTGACTCGCTCGACACTTTGGCAATTCAGTTGAGGGGCTCTTTGACCCCGGCTAGTTTGGGGCACAATCCGCGATTTACCTAGTCTGCGTGAAAAGGGACTGGATCGTAGACTCCAGGATTAGTCGCTGTAAGATGGACACCTAGGTATCAAAAAAAAAAAGATCATAGTGACAGATTTTGTGTGCAATGTGGGAGTTGGAGGAGTATGAATTCAATTAAAACATATGCTAACTAAACTTGTTTCAAAGATTTCTTTTTATAAGAGTAATGCTATTTAAAATCACTGGTGTCAAGTACCAGTTTAGATGACGACTGTTCACTTAAATGCAATATCACATTATTCATTTAATTGAAAATATTAAGTGTGACCATTTAAACTAGTGCTCCGTTATCAATAGCATTATTCTATTTATAACCTTCCCAAGGGATGCAATTCGGATGAGTTGGACTATATCACCTGCCTTGTCTAGTCCATTTTGTATAAATGAAATAGGTTTGCTCACAGGTCATCACCAAGGCTATCCCAGCTGAGGGAATTATGCTGTTTTGTTGGGGTCTCCATCTCATGGTCAAAACCAAGAGCATCAACAAAAATCTGCTCCCAGGCGAAATTTCAAACGAAATCCACCTCCTTTTGACACTTTCAAACTCAATGTTGATGCTTCAGTTCATGGCGAAGAGAGTTTCTTTACAATAGGACAATAATTTGGGACATGGCTTAGTGATTGGCTCTCAATCCCCGAAATTCAAAGGAGATTCAAGGTTGAAGAGGATGGAGTCTAGGGCTTTGAATTATTGAATCAGAAAGTGACTGCCTCCATGCATACAGGGAGTAATAGCCTATGGCTTCCCTTCTACGTTGGATCACTTCACTTTTGGTGAAAACTGGTAGTGACACGTGTAGCTTCATTCCAATAGGGACAAACACGTCTACGTACGCCATTGCCTCATTTGTTATTTCTAATTTATCATTTCACTCATTGACTAGTTGTATGCCATATTTTTTGAGCCTGATTGTTACTTGGGATATTCAAAAATGAATATGGTTACTGTTTGCTAGGGGAATAAAAAAGTTCATAGATCAATATTGATAAGTGTATTGTATACAATTATTCAGTGCATAAAAGAGAGATATTTGATAGTCCTTTTGAATTATTATAATTAATAAAAAATGAATATAGGCCTTTAAATCCATTGACTATATTTAAAGAGTCAAAACGAAACATAAGCAAATCGAAATCTTAATTCGATAAACGAATTTGAATAAATCTAAAAAAAATGCCAAAAATGTTGAAATATCCTTAAATTGACTCAAAAAATAATAATAAAAAATAAAACGGACCACTAAAGGAAGGAGTTTGACCCTGAAAGTTTGACGATGTTGGTCAAATGCCAATCATCACGCATCAAAATTGTATAGAATTGAACAAATCTTTTAAATTGTACTAACTAGTGAAATTCTAACACCCAAACTGAAAGTTACACGCATTTCTATAGACCCTTCTTATTTCTCTTTTTTTTTTTCAACTTGTTTTAGATTT